TAAATACTACTGGCCTGGAAGGCAGTTGGACTAAGGAATGGGCTAGGGGAAAATAGCTGAGCTGGTGCTATGTGGCTGACCAGGGTGACCCCAGCAGCCATGCTGAACCAATAATAAAAATAAAAATCATCATCAACTTCACTTACTGACCATGTAAAACTGAAGTATTCACAGTGGCAGTTGTAATACCTAGTAATGGGAATTAAAAATGCTTATTTTACTGAATGGGAAACTAAGAGAGGTTAAGCAACTTTCCCAAGGCCCACATAGCCAGAGCATGTAGACCTATGACCGGACACCAGGTCTGTCTCACTTTACGTTGCAAAGAGTCTGAGGCCTGGACCAGATTCTACTTATGAGGGAAAAGGAGACTGTATACATTATAGGGTCTTACCCAAGTCTGGAGAAGCCGTCCAAAGGAAGTGTGCCAACCAGAGGTGTGCGGTATGCCAGCCAGAGAAGAGGGGTATGCCAACTAGAAGAGGGAGGCACTTGTGTCTAAATTCTTTAAAGACAATGAGTAAGGAGATGTGACCACAGTTGGTTTCTCTCCCCAGCCTGCCCTTAATCCATACTAAGGAGTGGCTGAGGCAACTAAGTTGAAGATGAACCAGAAGTTTACATTAGAATCACATGGGAAACACTTCAAAGCACTAATCTCCAACCTCTATCCTCCAATACTCTGATTTAATTGATCTGGAAATCAAGGTTTCTAATTCCAACCTGGTGGTGGATGGTTGCTGAGTTCAGAGAAGCTCGGGAATGCCTGGGGATGTTAGACACATGTGTGGACTGAGAGTTAATTTCCATATGCATGACTTCAAACAGGGCAAGGGGTACTGAGAATGCAGTGTGTCTGCGTGGCAGACAGGTCAGCATTTGTGTGACCTAGGGAAGGAGGAAGCTAGGAAATGCATTTAGGCCATCTGTTATGAACAGGGTGCCCCAAGGCCAAGCTCATTTATCAATGTGAACACTCAGTGGGAGCCAGCAGGGCCTCCCACAAGTCCAGGTGATCTAGGTCCACTTATCAGCCAGATTAGAGAACAATCGCAGACCAGGAAGATGCCCCCACCCCAACCCAGAGGGCCAGGTGGTATGCGCAAACTCAGTGGACCTAGGTAGCCAAGAAACTCCCATGGGCCCAGCCAATCAGCAAGAGTCAAAACACAGAGACACCCAACAACCAAATCCCATTCTTGCTCACTGTACCCATATAAACACCTACTTCTAGCCCCCTCAGCAGCTACCCACAGAGGACCCCTCTCCAAACCCCCAATTCACCAGCACCAAACTTCAGTGAAACCAGTGAAGATCTGTTTTTAGATCTTTTCTGCATGCCTGTGAGGTATGTGTTTGGATTGTGTGTTTGAAGTCTGGGTGATGTAAAGTGCCTGAAAGTGGGTCTTACAAAAGAACGTAGGAGGGATGCCCCAGAAGAGTTCATGCTAATTTAAATGGTGACTCTAATATATGGAGGGTGACCACCCTAATTTTTTTATTGTCTATTAAAAACACAATCCTACAGAAAGGTGTAAACTACACGTGATAGACAATTCATGTGATTTAACGTTGGAAAGTGACTACCTAAGGGAAGAAAATGGTGAGTGAACGGGGAGGCTAGGGGAGGGCAGGGTACTGGTGGGGCTCTTTGGATCACACTCCCACTCTGTGCTTGGACTCTGTCTGTAAATATGCACTGTTTTCCCCTACTCACACACTCACAGTACTTCAGTCACCAGATGTGTGGGTTTCCCATACCAAACAAATCTGACACTCTACTTAGAAGTAGCACAGTTCCCACAGGTTAAGGTGCAGTCCCCCAAGGCTGGCCCCTCTTCAGACATCAACCATAAGTAGTAGGTCCCCAGGTTACCCACGCCTTCTGTCTGATTTGGCTACAAATTGGACAACAACCTCCTTGGAGTCAGTCACTTGCTAAAACAGGTAACAGAACTCAGGGAAACACATTTACAAGTATATTATATAATAAAGGCTATGATAAAGGATACAGATGATCACAGCCAGAAGAAACACACAGGGCAAGGTCTGGGAAAGTCCCAAGTACCTGAGTTTCTGTCCCTGTGGAGTTGGGGTGCATCACCTCCCTGGTACATGGATGTATTCACCATCCAGAAGTTCTGTTAAGTCATATTATGGGGAATTTTATGGAGGCTTCATCATGCAGGCAAGATCAATCATTAACTCCATCTCTAGCCACTCACCCCTTCCTAAAGGATGGGGCTGAGGCTGAAAGTCCCAAACTCTGATCACAGGTTGGTCTTTTGGGGGACCAGGCCCCATCCTGAAGCCATCGAGCCACCCACTCAGACTCACCTCATTAGGACAAAGGACACTCCTCTCACCTAGGAAATTCCAAGGGATTGAAGAGCTCTGTCAGGAACCAGGTCAAATATGAAATATTAGAACAAAAAATGTTCCTAATGCTTGGGAAACTACAAAGTTTTTAGGAGCTGTATGCTGGGAACCAGGTACAGAGACCAATATCTTTATTTTCTATTCTTCCACAGGCATGGATGCTGTTAAGAGTTTCCATGTGAGTAGTCTAACTAGAATATTCTGGAAATACCTTTCCCAGAACCCTTAAATTTAGTGTTTACAAAGCAAACAAGTCTCAATTGGAAGCAGAGTCACCCCCACCCCCAGGAGCAGCTGCCTTCCTGACTATAGTCTCAGAAGAGGGAAAATGAGGTATAGAGCAGGGTGAGAGGTGCCTGTGGGTGACAAGGAGTCCAGCGTCAAGGGTCTGTCTTCAAGTGGGTATGAAGTTGCTCAAAAGTCCCTCTTCTTTGAGGAGAAATGCATAAACTGATCCTGACTAAACCCCACTCATTCAGAGACAGCATGTACTCAAGCAAGGGGTCCTCAAGCAAAACAGCCTCCTCTGTTTTGGGTGAGGAATCCTGGCCAAGTCAGACCACCAGAGAGAAACCCAGGCATACTCTCCTGGAGCAGGGATTGATTCCATTCAAAGGTGATGGGCCCTGAGACTGAGGTCACCCATTTCCAAGTCACACACAGCCCAGCACCCCTGCCTTCCCAGCGGTTCCAGCACCGATTGCCCCCAGCATGGCAGACTGCCTCACATTGGATCCCAGTGCACGGCGATCATCATCCCAAGAACTGGTATCTTGAGCCCTTTACAGCCTTCAAACACATTCACATCCAGTATCTTTTAAAACAATGATACCAGAAAGCACTACTATTATTCCATGTAGTAAATACAGAGGCCAAGAAGCAGAAAGGGAAAGCGACTTGGCCAAGTAGTTAAAAGGAGGGCCAAGCTGGAACTTGAGTCTTCTGACTCTCAACCCCAGGTCCTTTGCATGATAAAGGTAAGTCTATACTAGCTGCAAAGCACTATCTCACAGAGATGCCCACCTACTGTATTCTTTCTGATGTCCAGAGAAGTGTTCTTCCAAATGCAAAAAAGGGCGCCGGGGCGGGGGTTGGGGGGGGGTGCAGGGGTGGAATCTGCACTGCTCCCCTAGGCTGATGCCTTTGCCTCCAGGTCACCAAGAAGGGAAACGTGGAATTTGACACGAGAAGTAGCCAAATGTGGTCAGGGGAGGGGCCTACCACTGCTGAGATTCAGAGCACAGGTTTTAGAGACAGACATATGTGAGTTTCAACTTCATTAGCTGTATTTCCTTAAGCAACTCATTTCACTTCTTTAAATCTTACTATTCTTACCTGTAAAATAGAAACAAAACACAAAGCACTGTAAGGATTCAATCAAATCGACTATGCAGAGCTCGGAGGATGGAGCCTCGAGCATCCAAAGTGCTCAGATGTTAGCTTTTTCTCTTTTACACACACACACACACACACACACACACACACACAATCAAGTAAAACCCTAGGTTTTTAGCTGATGAGGCGCCATTAGTATCTTCTCTGGTGGATGACAAATGTCCTTGTTGTGACTTGTTAACTAAACTGCCTCTGTGATCTCAGCCGTGAAATGAACACGAGGGTGGAGAGATGGGGATGGAAAGGACACTAAATTAGCAGTAAAGAGAACTCACTTTCATTTTCAGCTCCACTACCGTGCTAGGTGACCCAGACCCTGCCAGATCCCTTCCACCACTGCCGACATCTGTGAAATGAGGGGCTCAGACAGGCTCCCAAAGCCTTTTCCAGGGCTCTCACTCAGTGTTCCTCTATGATACTGAAGGCAAGCAGTAGGCAAAATGGTGCTGAACCCCTACTGGCTTCGACAGTGTGAACTCCCGCCTCAAATGGCTGGCCTGGGACTTTCAGCCCCTTGGAAAAATTCTCTCTCCCCTTGCATGGGGATCTTGAGCCTCAGTCTGGACACAGAGGTCCCAACTGTCCCAAGTCATTCGATAACAAAGGAAAAGGCACCCCAAGCCCAAGCCAGGAGGGGAAGAAGCAGCCGGGCAGCTGTGTTTCATCGTCACCGACTGAAAAATGCCCCAACCACCCAGCTCCGCACCTAGCCACCCCAAACCTCAGGGTGAAGCCAACCCAGAGCCAGAGTTGCCCTTCTCACAATTAAGTCAGTAATTGTCCTGCAAAAAAACCAAAAGTACAAAATGTTGCCCCCTCCAAATCTCAGGACTTTCTGGCTCCACCACCAAATGCCTAAGAACCCAGCTCCCTGTTCATTTCTCCATCTGCAATCGGCCCGTCTTGCCTGCCAACAATTTCAACTCTGCTATGGCTGTTTATTGTATGTTACAGCTGCTAGGGTTTCGTTTATTTTGTTTCAGTCTCTCTTGGTCATCAGTGCTCTTTATCCTTTTCTGCATAACATAACTCCAGACCCCAAAGACATGACATATTGAATTTCTCGAGTCAAGGGTGGCTCCAGCCCCTTCCCTTCCTTGGCTGACTTGAAACAACCTCCTGCCTTCTTTTTAAAACTTTTCCTAAGACACCAGAAGACTATTTCAGCGCTTTCGTTTTCGAAAAAGGAAAAAAAAAAATAAAGGAAAAAACACCACATAACTTACGTTCATCCATCCAGGAGTGGCCAGATTTGGAAAGAAGAAAACGGAGCTATAATCCACTGTGTTCCCCCAACCCCAAAAGAAGAATTTGTTGTGAAATGCTTCTTTTTCCACTTTGCCGGTGAAGGAGGCTGGTGGTAGGCATACATCCACAGGCTGATGCAAGATGCCTTTGAGAGAAACCTCACATTCTGAGGATTCCTGGGAAAGCGCCAGGGATCCCAGCATCCAATATATTACACATTTGGTTTCAATTAGGAAGGGGGTTGGGAGGGAAGAAGGAAAGTCACCAATCAGAGCTGTTTTCTGTTTAGAGACTATTTCTTTTGACCCAAGGGACTACGGGCAAAGCTATAATTTACAGCAAAACCCATTCATAGAAGAAAAAATATGTATAACCATAGGACAGACTTAAAGACACAGCTCCCTTCTGCCTTCTCCCCACCACAGCCACCCCAAGCGGCTGCCATGTCCCCCTTCATCTAACACATCGTCCCCACCCTGTGACCCCCACCTCATTTTTCTTACTTGAGCTGAAGCTACAAGCACTACTTCAGGTTTGGAGTCTCTTCCAATCGAAGCTTCTAGGACAGTTGGGTCGTACACGTGGAGTTGATCTTTGGCGTTTTATCCATGAGAGCCCAGAGTCGAGTCCTCCCCTGAAAAGATTTTATTTAATCCTTTCCACCCACTGGCTCCCCCACCAAAAAAAAAAAAAAAAGACTGGACAATTCCAGAATTCCTATGTTTTTCCACTCAATTCCCAGTTGGTTGCTGCCTCTGAGGGTCTGTCCTGGATTCGTGCTGCTAAATGAAAACACAAGCTTTTACAAGGACTTTCTAATTTATTTTGAAAACTTTTTTTCCTTTTCCCTCTTTTTTTTCCTCTTCGTGGTCATGGTCAGAGATCATCTGAACGGGGTATAGCAACAGGGAGGAACCCTTCTTCGGTTCTCTAAATGATAACTAATAGTCCCCTCCATCATCAAGACTCCAGGCTTTAACCCTTTGGAGCCTGGCTCATTCCTGGCCAAGCATAGGCTGAGGCTGCCTTGGAGGTCGAGTCCTATGTGTACAAGTGATGCAGGCAAACTGCGGCTCAAGGTCAGCGGATCTGTGGGGGAAGGCAGATGGCAAAAGAGAAATCAAGAGGACCTAGCTCACCTCTGAGAAATGGCTTCCTCATAAAGAGCTCCCTTTGTCTGAGCTCTTGAGCCATCACATCTCTTCTCTGCTTGTACTTGACAGGCAATCTGGGATTGCACAGCCCCCAAGCTGAGCATGAAGAGAGGTGGGGCAAACAGGGGAAAGAGAAAGAACAGGTCACAGAGGGACTTCCCAGAGTAGGCTGGAGCAGGAGATTGTCCATAAAAAGGACAGGAAGAAAGACCATGAATGGATGGCCCTGAGGAACCAAGCCATCAGGGTCAAGTCCCTACAAGGCTCTTAAGCTCAGCATCAGTATACAACACTCAAAAAGTGACATCTGTGTCTATACTTCAAGCTAGCAGAATGTGGGAGAACTTGGAGGCTATCCGAGGGCAGCCCAGTGATTGTTAAAGGGATAAAGCAAAAACTAGAAGTAGTTATTTTACAAAGATAAGAGACAGTACATAGGTAAAATCTATGAAGAAGACTCTTAACTTAGAAAATCTGAAATCAGGGCCTCCCCTGGTGGTGCAGGCGGTTGAGCGCAGCGCTGTGAAGCTGTCCACAGCCTCTGCAGCGTCGGTTCGATCCCGGCCAGCCGGCGAGGGTCCCATATGGCTCTGCAGACCTCTCCTCAGCCCGCTGCTCTCCTCAGCAGTGTATTTCGTCAGTCTGCCTGTTCTGTGAATCCGCTCATCCTCCCGCGCCACTGGCCTGCACCCAGGTTCTTGTATAAATAAATAATCTTTAAAAAAAAAAAAAGAAAGAAAATTTGAAATCAAATGAGGGTGACTAAGGTCAGGACAGTCTGTTCAACTCCATAAATATACCTGAGTTTATCAGGCATTTTACTGGGTGCTTATTTGAGACAACAGTCCTAGAGTTATAAAAATAGCCCTAGAACCCTCTTCAAATATCTGGGGCATAGTTTACTTATTTGATATCACCATGAAGACTATACTGAAAATATAATCTATACTATCTCTGATTTGGTCAGACTACCAGATCCAATGTGAAAAATAGGGTCATCGTTGCATAAAGTCAGATCCTAGTAAAAGACAGCTACTGTAAGTATGCATGCTCCAATACCAGTTTTGAAGGTGGTTCTACTTCACAAGCAGTGTGGGTGTTTGTGGATTTGTATAACTCAGTTTCCAGCTTGAGTCAGCAATGTTGACTTAAAAACCCAAATACAACTAGGTCTGTCTGAGGAAGGGTGCCAAGAGTCTGTTGGTGTAGAGACCAAGGAGAATCCTGGGAAGAATTCGCTGTATGAAGAGAGCCCAAGCGCAATCAAAGCTGTGTCGGAAGTGAGGGCCAACTCTGAGGAAGACACCATGTCTGTCACTCATTTTATTCTCAGCCAGACACAGGTTTACCCTGGAACTCCAGAAAAGAGCAAGGAAAAGCTAAGAGTGATATTTTACTCACATATTTGAGGAATATTTGAAGCATTAGGAGGAATCATGAGTTTTGAGCCTCCACTTTGGAAGAAGCTCCTATTGTGGGGGGTGAGGGGGGCTTCAATCAGTCCTGACAACTGCCATTGCTGCAGGAAGATACAGCTGGATGTAGAGGACATGGCCAATGCCACTTAAAAGCTGAGAGGATGAATTCATGGCACACACAGAAAAAATGTCCTGAAGGCTCTCAGAACTATTTGATGGAGTTTTAAGCAAGATTGGATTCCGAAAATTGTGGGAACAGATGTGGAGAAATTCCATTTTGTTACACTTTGTGAACAGATTTTACCCCCTGGTTCGGCTTGGGAAGCATGAATCATTACGATCAGAATATTTATGTTCCGTGGGAGGCAATACATCCTAGTTATGAGGACTGTTTTGCACTAATGATGAATTACTGAGGCGCAGTATAGAATCCCATTACTGGGACTTTACTAGAAAGGACAGACCTATCTGGAGTAGTCAAGTTGCCATGTTAATTAGAACTAAGAAGTGCAAGATGACTTTTCAAGATCTTTTCTAATCTCAAGTTCAAGTAAATATGTGTTAAGAAACGAAATAACTAACAAAAAAATTATCTGATTTAAAAAAAAGAAATGAATTAACTATACTAATTCTGTCTCCAAATAACCACATGTTGGATGCCTTTGTGATGGCTGAGCAAGTAAAAGGATGGAAGTGAAAGCAATGTCACCTAGTTTAAGAAACACACACAGGGCCTACCCTGGTGGCGCAGGTGGTTGAGCGCAGTACTATGAAGCTGTCCACAGCCTCTGCAGCGCGGGTTCAATCCCGGCCGGCCGGAGAGGGTCCCACATGGCGTGACAGACCTCTCCTGTCTCACCCAGTGCTCCCCTCAGCAGTGTATTTCTGTCCATCTGCCTGTTGTGTTCCCCACTCTGTCTCTGGTGAATCCTCTCACCCTCCCGCGCATCTGGCCTGTACCCTGGTTCTTGTATAAATAAATAAATAAATCTTCAAAAAAAAAAAAAAAAAAAAAAAAACAGACACACACACACACACACACACACCTTCAAAGGTTGTATGAGATTCACAAAACCCAAATCCAGTTGGTACATTTAAGCTTCACAAGGAAATTAAAATTAGCCACCAATTACTTAGTGCCCAGCTAACATGGCTTCTCTCTTCACCTCTCCTCCTTTCCCTCATTCTCTCTCTCCCTTCTTCCTCCCTCCCCATTCATTTCTCATCTTTCTCTCCTCTACTTATCTCTGTACATCTCACTTCAAACCATTCTTTTGCAGCAGACCGGACTTTTCTGCTTCTTTTCATATATTATTAAACGTGGTTACCCTAAAATGATACCTTAGCTCTTAAATACATATCTACTCACTCCAAGTAAACAGAAGAGAATGACTAGTTTTATTGAAACCCATTGCCAGAATCCTAAGATGAAGAATGTGATGGCTGGGGGGAGTTTATGTATCCATCCTCTGTCTACACTGCAAAGAGAGGTGGGCCATATAACATGAATATGGCTCCAGAGGTCCAGGCCAACAGTGAGACAATTCTCGGAAAAAGGTTGTCATACATTAAAAGACAGGCCAAAAGTGTCTGATACATCAGTAAAAACAAAACCTGACTATTCTGGGATTTGAAAGGAGCTACACTTCCCCCCAAAATACAAGGCTACCATGGAGTCATAGTGCACAAAAATTTAAACTTAAGTACCAATGTTAGAATTTAATCCTTAAAATAAGGTGCCTTTTTATTGGTTTGCCAATCCATAATAAACAAATATTTGACATATATGAAGGCATAAAGGCTTAGTCTGCTTTTAAAAAAATCATTATGGAGGAAATGTTGTAGACGATACAAACACTTTGGTTTTCTTAAAAGTCGAGGAGTCTAAATGTCCAGACAGCTGCGTGTGTATGTTCCCTGGGTAGCTTCCTGAGTTTAGCTCACGATTCAAGAATCTTAGTGTGCATAAGAATTATCCGATGGAATTGTAGCCACAGAAGCACGAGTTCTATCTTTATGAATGATTTAAAGTTCTTGCCAAGATCATCTTAACCCTAAGAGATTTCTCCCCTTATGAGCTGGGTCCTAACCCTCCATGCTACTAGATGCTGTTCTGTGATAAGATGATTCCCATACAGAGGCCTAGTAAGCAAATTCATCCTAACAAGGTATTAACTTTACTTTTCTTTTTTTTCAAGGTGTTAACTTTTCCATAAAAAACAATAACAACAACAATGGTGGTGAAAGGAGCTGACAGCTCACAGGGTGGTAAGGATAAAATGAGATAGGGAAAGAATAATTTATTGAGTGCTCACTATATGCCAGGCATGCTTCTAAGGACTTTACATTTACTACTTTATTTCTCACAAGAACCTTATAGGGCGGTTACTATTATTTCCCAATGTCCATATGAGGACATAAAGGCACAAAAAATTAACTTGCCCAAGATCATACCTGGTGGAGCTAGATTACATGTACATGTGTATGTGCATGCATGTGCTTTGTGACAATGAAGTGTGTGTGTGTGTGTGAGTGTGTGTGTGTGTGTTGAGCAGGAAACATTTAAAATGGATGGGAGAGTCAAGTCTTAGTTTTTCAAGGGCATAAGTCCTGTCCACTTAAGAGAATCCTTTGTGCCATTTTCCT